ATACATTAATTCCCTCCCCTGCCCCTTATTTTTTTTTTGAGATAGAGTCTTGTTCTGTGGCCCAGGCTGGAGTGCAGTGGCATGATCTTGGCTCACTGCAGCCTCTGCCTCCCAGGTTCAAGAGATTATCCTGCCTCAGCCTCCTGAGTGGCGGGTATTAGAGGCACATGCAGCCACACCCGGCTCCTTTTGTGTTTTTAGTAGAGATGGGGTTTCACCATGTTGGTCAGGCTGGTCTCAAACTCCTAACCTTGTGATCCGCCTGCCTTGGCCTCCCAAAGTGCTGGGATTACGCGTGTGAGCCATGGCACCCGGCCAGTTATACATTCTTATGACAAAAATTATTATTTTTGAAGTAGCTAATACAAAGATGATGACAAAGAATCGTTGACTGGATCTTTAGTTTAAGGATTCCAAATAGATCTCTACATGTTTACATATTCCCTACACATCGCCTTAAGAAGACACAGGGAAACAATTTCTGGTTCGATTAACATTTGCTAAGCACTCAATTTGTGCGGAGCACCATGCCAGACATTAGAGTTGAAGATGGAGAAGGAAGAAGATGTACAAAGAAACAATACAAGGTCCAACCATTCAAAGAAGTGTTGTATAGTTTTAATGAGGGAGATAAACTTGTATACAGATACTACAAGAGGCACTGAAAGGAGGAATTAGGAAACTCTGAATGATGTAATAATTATAGAAATCACTAGCTTCAAATTGCCAAATTGGAACAGTATGGTTCTAGTCTACTAAGATAGGGCAGGAGAGCTGTACAGAGGGAATGTTAAAGAATTAGAATGCTCAAATAGAAATGAAGCTGGGCCTGACAGCATTCTATACCTTCCAACCTTTTCAACGTTATGGTGTGTGTACATATAGAGATGATAGATAGGTAGACAGAGAGATAGAAAGAATTTTATGTTTTCAATCCATCAAAGCAAAAAGGACTTGTGTCAGAGGAAAACAAGTCCCCTGGGCCTGGTCCACTGCTTCCAAGGTTAACAGGTCTGGTGCACCTGAGGCCTACCATATCTATTGGGAAGCTCTGCATATTTGAGACATGCTCCTTACATGGATTTGCCCAGTAGAGAGTCGGAATCTCAAATATAATATGAAGGAATGTTGGCCCAACACAGTTGACTATGGTATGTGTGGTGTGGCATGGTTAGCAAGGCAATCTGAGCCGGGTGGAGCTCCAGCCTCAACACTCACTAGCTTCCATCACCTTGGCAAGTTGGCTAACTTTTCTAAGCTTCATGAAAATGTCACTAATAAAATGGATTGCCCTGCTGAGCCATGTCAGAGCTTGAAACAAAAGGAAAATTGCATGTTGCTATAAACATGATCAAAATAACCCTCTTTAAAAAAAAAATCAAATGGGAATAGTTAACTGAAGCTTTTCAGTGACAAGTCATGACTTCTGTTTAAAGCTCTGCATTGCCCAATCTGTTTGCATGACATTATCAACCCTAAAAACTCAGCTGGTGGGGATGTTGCTGATTGGAAATGACTGTTCCTGTTGCACAATAATACAGAGTTGTAGAACAAAACAACCTGTTCTTATTTAAAATTATGGTG